TCACCCTCCTCTCTGCCGCCTCGGTTCGTCCCTTCGCCGACCGGCCCCCCCCCCTCTCTCTCTCTCTCTCTCTCTCTCGCTTGCCCCGACGTTCTCCGCGTGCGATAATTCAGAAAATCTATTTTACCAGGTTTTTTTTCTTTTTATTACCGGCCATTATTTACGGCGGACACGCTCTCGGCAAGGGTCGCCTCTCCTTCGGATCCGGGAATACGTCGATAATGCTTAATCGCAGAAACGGGAATTTCTCCTCACCTCCGTGTGTCGAAAATTCCAGATGGTACCATCCCGTAGGTGGAGCGAGAGGGTGCGCGAGAGAGACTGGTCGGCGAAATTCGACCTCAGCTTGATTCTTGCCGCTCTTTGCCTGGCAAAGAGTTCGACGTTGGTTAATATATTCGTTGGTGTTGACCGACTTTTTAGTTCGTTTGTTGACGCAGTTGGCCAGCGCTCGTCGGTGTTGATTGGCGTTGACCGATGTTAGATCGGACAAGAGAGAGAGAGAGAGAGAGAGAGAGAGAGAGAGAGAGACTCTCCGACAATAAAATCACGTCGTCATATTCCCGCGAAAAATATTATTTCTCAAAAAATGAAAGCTTCGGCCTAGGTCCGAAGAGCTGCTTCAACAGACACTCCGTATGAGAGAGACGCTCGATGAGAGTCGCGAGTAAGAATCTTCATAATTGCTTCTTAATCTGGATCACAATGCGTCCCTGTCGATCGCAACAATAGGGGAGAACTTGACAAAGGGAAAGAGTGCCTTTCAACGGGGCTTGCGTCTCAGCTCGGGATCTCCGGAAGCTGCATTTCTCGTATGACGGAAGCAGGATTCACGCGAAAACGATGGAAAGGTCCGGTGCCGAGCCGAGTACGCGTCCACCGGATTATCGTAAAATTGAATCCCGCTCGCGAGTCTCGACTGCAGAAACGCCCGGCGATCATTTTTTATCGTCAAGCGTGGCTAACGATCGTCGCGGGTATAATCTCGCGTGCCGAACGTACAGTCATAAAAAGGGAAGCATCCATCACTCGCGACGCGATCGTCATTTATCGACGTAATGAACATCTTCGCTCTTTATACGAAGCAGCTCCCGCGCTACGGCGTCAAGCTGCTCCTTGTTTATCTCTCTCTCTCTCTCTCGCAACAATCTCTTTAAGTAATATTAATTAAACGGATGACTATATTACGGCGCTCCTCGCGAGATATATAAAAACGAGATACTTAAAAGTCATTAATCATTTGTCCGTTACTGTACGCGGAATTTGCTGGCGATATAAAGTTACGTATAATTAAAGACCTATAATTAATAACTTCAATCTTAGTTAGCGTTAATTCCTAATTTTTTTCTTAAAATTTCTGGCGAACGTCTTTAAGGCATAACAAGTCGGAAATAATTCCGCAAAGCAAAAACTTCTCCTTTAATTAACGCCGAAACAATTTATATCTCTGCTACGAAAGACGCCCTCCCCCCCCCCCCGCTCGTGTGTGCAGAATTGCGTGAAGTAATCTGCTTCCTTTAAAAATCTGACAGCTGGGAAAATTACGTCGTCGGAAGAAAAATATTTTCGAACGCGCCGTTCTCGGCGCTACTCCGTTCCCCGGCTGCGAAAGACAAAGTCAAGTCGCTTGTATTTCTAAGATACACCGATACGTGAATCCAATCACGCCCACGGCGATAAATCCGGCGGGGATTAGATATTAAAATGTTCAGATACAAATGGCTCGTTATCGACGGTGATCGATCGGCATTATCACGAGCGTGGGACGCGATATTCGCGCCCGTCGATTTACAAACTGGCGGGGAACTCGCGCGCTAGAATCGTATTAATCTCCCGCTGCGAATCACTCGACAGCCGCCAACAGCTTAGATCCCCGGACCGTCCGTCGCCAATAGCTCACCGTCTTATCTCGCGAAATCTCACGAGAGAATCTCCCGAGAAAAATAAGAGGGATTAAAGCGATTGCGAGGAGGGAGAGAGAGAGAGAGAGAGGGGTGGGGGAAACGAGAGAAGGAATACAGAAGTTGAGGAGCAGTTCCTTCTGCCTTGTCCGGTATATAATTTTCAACTTGGAGACCGCCGAAACTTTTCACTTACTTCAATCGTGTTCCTTCGGCTTTTCATAATAAACTGTGGGACCGCGAACATTCAGTTTGCTCGAGCGCAGGCTGGCGGATTGCCATTATCGGCATCCTCGGCGGTACCGCAACGCTTTAAAGACCGAGGACGTCTCTTATTATCGCAACAGCTTCATTAACGTGCTAGTTGTTTCGCTGGCGGGCGAATAAGGGAGAGTCGTGTGATCGCGTCAGCTCGTGTGAGATCGCATTTCATCGTCTCGTATTTCACCCCGCTCGAGACAATCAGGGCGTGACTTTTTAGGGGGATGCTGATGCGTCGCAGCATCAGCGGGAAAATCAAAGAAATCAGTCAGCGTATTTCGGCGGGGCGTACATTTGCAAGTTTCAATACCGCAATGCGTCAAGCAGAGAGGAGACAACGAAAGACAAACGATTAAAGGATTAAATTTTATTCGCGTTAAGAGAACCGCCCATCTTCTTCGGTTTAGAAAATTAAAGGGGACGCTGCCGGTACGCAGCTGACGCTCGTACGCGTTCTGTATAAGAACAACGACGTCCGCGCGGCAACAGTCTTCCGTCTCTCCGCTCGTGCCATCTCATTTTCTGTATTTCGTCCCGCGTCTCCGTGACGTGCGCTTCTCTAACCGGAGCAATGTCGGAGCAATGTCTGCCTTCACAGCGGCCTCGAGTGCGCGAACCAAGAACAAAGGATGACGCCCCGTAAAGAAATATGCAAAAGGGTGGAAAAGGGGCGGTGGCCACCCCGTCGCTTCTTCTCTTTCTTTTTCTTTCTTTCGTTTTTATCATTTGATATTTTTCGCCTCTAGGTTTCGATGCGAAACCTAGAGGCGAAAAATATCAAATGATAAAAATGTCCGACAGGTTGTTAAATAAACTGTAAACTAAAGAGATGCTCCCTACGACAGTGAGATTGAAGTCGGTCAAGAGAACTCTCGAGTTCGAGCCACGATCGGACGGTGTTTGCTCAAACCTTTAAGATCGCGAAAGATATAACGTTCAATTTTACGTCCTGATTTATGCAAAGGATTTAATTGCATCTTTCAACGTCGGGGAACGTCGGTCTGCTCGTCGAGAGCGACCTTTATTCAACCGCTATGCGTAATTAAAGAACGTCACAGTCATAAGGAAAAATGTCGCGTGCCGCGAGGGAGATGACGTGGGTGCGATAAACATTTTCAAGAGGAATCCTAATGGAACCTCGGGGATGAATACCGAATGAACTTGATTGGCCGACGACGACGACGACGACGACGACGACGACGACGACGGTGTCCATTGTTTGGCCTGCACATCGCGTACGACCTGTAGAAGTCCGCAAAATCTTATCAATGAAATTAACGTGGATAGCGAGCGCCGTGAAAGCAATTACATGGCTGAGTCCCTCGTTTAACAGTATTATTGCGTTATCGTATGTTTCTTCGTGGTGGTCGCTTAACGATCCATTATCGGGGAGTCATTAAGCCGCCGAAGCAGAGCCGGCCGGTGAATTATTGAGCAGGGCGCTCTATTATACTTCGATTACGGTATATGCTCTCATGTCTGTTGATTAACGCGACGCGCTAATCAGTTAACGGAAAAATAGATTGAAAATGAAGGATTACATCGGAAATAAGATTAGGTGTTATACGAGAAGTATGTAGCGAGCAAACGAGGAGCCGAGATTCAAAATAACAGCATCTCATCGTATGTTGACTCGACTCGCCTCGTTTTTCATCGAACCGCTTTTCTCCTATTAATTGTTCACGTAGCATTCCTTCTTGTCTCTTTCTCTTCTTCTCTTCCTGGGATATTAATCTGCAACGGTAATCCTTAGGTTTCGACCGATCAATTCTACCCGCGTATTGTCGTTGGTATACATTCATAATAATAGAAAACGATAAATACGTGAAAACGTATGTCCCAACAAACTAAGATGTATTAATAAAAGGAGAAAAAAAAATACACAAAGAGAGATGTAAAGATATGTCGAACGATTCTTTCAACTTTTTCCCTTCAATATACAACGCTTCACGAAAAAGGCTTAAACCACCTTTCGTTACGCACACTCGTGCAACGCCGTTGTCATTTGCTAACGAACGTATCGAACTTTTTTTGTATATCCTTCGAAAAAAAGAATCGCAAAATGATTCAGTTTGTGAGAGAAAAGAAGAACGAGAGCGTAGCATCCGAGCTTGATTGAGGACTAATCGGTTTACAGGTCTGAAAGAGCATATTGGAAAAGGGAAAGGAAATACCGGCTCGGTGCAACAAGCAGGAGAGATCGTGAGAATAGAATGACGTGGAGTCATTTGGGGAATCGAGACTACTCGATGAGTGAGTCGCGTAGATTAAGCTAAGACCGTTTCTGGCGCGTCGCCAAAGGACGTCGCTCGCTATTTGCGAATTGTCGACGGTCTCCCCCGCCTCCTCCTGCAGGAGACGTCTTTGTTCCTCCGGCGTTCAACGTGATCCAGATTTATCGCGATAAAATGGTAAAACGGGTCCGCCGGATCCGATCGTGGATCATGTTTATTGTTAGCCGAAATGGGACGCTGCCGGGAGGAAAGCGCAAATAGGCAAACTCGACTTACAAGATGCTCCGGGATAATCGAACCTATCTCTCTGCTCCTTCGACCGGGGGGACTTGCGCGAAAGTTCCAGAGAAGAGTTCGATCATCGCCGTCGGAGAAGAACTCGTGCGCGCGCTAATTCTCCAATAGCCGAATGCCGAAGCGTCAAAAGCGACAGAAGCTTTACATCTCTCCTGCTTCGCCACGATTTTGACACGAAAGCAAAGGTGTCGTTTAACGATCACCGCCGCCGGATCGTCGCGTTTCCACTTCGGTCGAGTGCGTTCGACACCGCGTGCGCTTGTGACACGTCGCCAACAACTCCCGTTTACGCTCTCGCGCGTTTCAGGTAATCTGATGGTGATCTTCGTGGTGACGTTTTCCCGCCGGTTGCGCAGCATCACGAACTTCTTTCTGGCCAACCTGGCGGTCGCGGACTTCTGCGTGGGCATATTCTGCGTCTACCAGACGCTCACCAACTACCTGATGAACAGCTGGCAGCTGGGCGACTTCCTTTGCAAGGTGTACATGTTCGTGCACGCGCTCTCCTACACGGCGAGCATACTCATACTGGTGGTGGTGTGCACCGAGCGTTACCTCGCCATCGTTCATCCCATCAAGTGCCGGTCCATGTTGACCAGAAGCCGACTGCGGATAGTGATAGGTGTAGTGTGGATCGTGGCGGCCGTTTACGCCTCGCCCAGGTTCTTCTACGTCGAGACCATCAGCAATCGTCTCAACACCGGCGACGTCGACATCATCTGCGTGGCCAACATCAAGAAGCACAACAAAAACGTCCTGGACGCGGTGAACCTCGTCTTTCTCTACCTCCTGCCGCTCTTCCTCATGTGTTGCTTGTACACCAGGATCGCCGTGGGTCTTTGGAGGAGCGGCGCGACCCTCGGAGGACCCGGCCTGGTCGCCCGGAGCAGAAACGGCAGGGTTCATCATGTGCACACCTCCAGCAAGAACGTGCTGAGGGCGAGACGCGGTGTTATCAGGTATCTCTCCATTTCCGCAGCATGCTCGGGACAATAAGCGCCCTCCAATTTCCGTCTAGACGGAGCCGATGTCCGCTTGAGCGATCGCGCTCCTCGAGAACACGTTCCCCTTCGGCGGTGCCGTTGTAATAACATAACTCGAGCAACATGTTAATATTAGATAAGCAAGCAAGTCGGTGCTGTTTTAAGCAACAGATGAATAATTCCTTTTCCGTAAGAGAACGTTACGCACCGGTAAACTCTCTGTTGAATAAGCTTTCGTTCGAGCACACGTAAGCGCATTTTCACTTGACAGTGTGCGGATGCGCAGTTTGACATGATAAGACCTCGAAACGAACTTTCTCGCTTACCTAATAACAACACACCGGCACACCTTGATCGTCCATTAACACCACTTCGCGTCTTGGTCGTAAATTCCAAGTTCCAAGACACTGGAGAAATTATCCGAAAGATTGGCATTGAAAAGTTGACAAATTCAAAATCAGCGTTTAGACACCAGGAAACTCACTTGTCCCGTCTACTGCACTTCCGAGAGACCTTCTTTCTTCCAATACCATAAAATAATCTCGCACACCCATACATCCGCGAAAGTAATTCCGCGACGAGAATCGTTGGGCATCTGAAGCCGCAGCGAAAAGCTTCAAATCAGAAGGCGGAGAGCAGCACGCTTGCACAACTCGGGAGATGAAATTTTGCAGAAGATACGCGGCCTCGAGAGGAGATCGATCTCGAACCCTCTGTTGCTTGCTGTTTCGCAGAATGCTGATCGCCGTGGTGATGATGTTCGCCGTGTGCAACCTGCCCCAGCAGGCGCGCATCGTGTGGCGACATTGGGGCCCGAATTACGACCGCACGTCGGACTTCAGCACCTTGCTGACCGTGTCGACCTTCCTGATCTCGTACATGAACTCCTGCCTGAACCCGCTGCTGTACGCTTTCCTGTCGCGCAACTTCCGCAAGGGGATGCGCGAGCTGCTGCACTGCAAGGGTGCCAGGACGCACGGCAGCGCCCTGGCGATGGCCTGCGCCGGTGGCGACCAGAATCGCCACGAAAACGGCATCAGCACGCACCTGCCTCACAGCTCGGTGGTACGGCTGAGCTCTGTTCAGGACAGTCCGTGCACCACGCAGACCATCACCCGGCAGAGCACCTACAGCCGGAATACCTAGTGAACTGTCGTCGTCCTCGGCGCGAGTAGATCGCGAGGCTCCTTCTCGGACAGGCGAGCGAGCGGCTGCGGGATCTTTGCGGAGAGCCCGCGTCGACGCGCCGCTCTTGCCCCGAAGAGCCTGCTCGAAGCGATACGTCGGAAAATCACTTTGTGATCTTTCGATTCGGCTTCGAGTTGGACAACGAGTTCGTGAATGTTGGAGATGTCGGTGGTTCTGGCCGCCTGGCAGCCTGCGTACGGACAGATCCGTCGTCGCATCCGAATGTTAATGAGGTGATCCTATAATGAACGTTTCGCCGAGAGAGAGAGAGAGGGAGAGAGAGAGAGAGAGAGAGAGACCATGTCTCCTACGAATTATTTTTACCGGTTACATTTGTATATACGGGGAATCGAAGGGCTCGTTTTCGGGGTGCGCCTTGGCTTCTTGAAGACTCGATCCATGTTTATACTTTTTTCTTCTTTTACAGAAAGAACAATGATGTAACATGTCGTAAGTGCGACAGAGATGACAGAAAGCGGCGCTCGCGATCCTCAATTTTGCATTTTGCAAGATAATTGGCTGTGTTATTATTCATGAGACTGTAATTTATAGCATTCGCCCTCGATATCGTATCGTACGGATTGAGTGAAAAAATGGCGTTAAACTCGTTTTGAAAACCATTCGCGATTTCGAGTCCGATCTACCCTGAAAATTAGCTTTTCGGTCACACGCGAACTGAATTCGCAGTTTCACAGCGGATCGCGACCACGTTCGCGATGGCGCCGGAATTGCGGCTCAATTTCTTACTGATGCGTTATGCTGTAACCGTAATCTCGGCTCGCATATTACAATTGCAGAAATTGCCACGTCTCGGGAACAAGATAGCGATAGTTTTCACTGCATGAGAGAGAGAGAGAGAGAGAGAGACAGAGAGGGGAGTGAACGAGTGAGTTAGTCCGACGAATTTGCCAGCGACCAAATAGTGCCAGTGGCATGCAACTTTGTCGGGGTATGTGCATGTGTGTGTGTGTGTGTGTGTGTGTGTGTGTGTGTGTGTGTGTGTGTGTGTGTGTGTGTGTGTGTGTACGCGCGGAGTAAAACTGGGTACGGAGCTTAATCGGAGCTTATTTAGAGCGTATTACGTATTACTCCCATTTCCACTCCTCCTATTCTTTGTGGCCCCGGCGCTTAAACAATACAGACAGAAGCTATTGTTAGTTCCGCCTGTTGTCCGCTCGGTTTAACACTGCGCCTGAAGTGACAACAAGAAACTGCATTACGCAACCGAGATACGATGATCGATATTCGTATTCACAGTTGCGCCCGAGGGCGCGTTACGTACGGAACATCGAACATTCTAGCGAGCTCGATTACTATAGACTGCCGTCTTTTCTAATAAATAGTTTCTGCCGGCTCGTCGAGAAGCGGACTGAGAGAAGACAACTGAGTGTACGGAGGAACAGTTTGGCTCTTGAGCATGAGTTGTATAAATTAAAGTAAGGTTACAAAGGCAAAGTTCGTCAAGCTCTCTAAACGCGCACGGTGTATTTTACTTTCAATTGGACAACATACAAAGTACGACCACGTGTACGACCTATCTAGCAACATTACACTCGCGCGTCGTCAAAAACAATTTAGAGCTGAGAACGCGAGTGCTGATGCGTTTTCTAGCGAATTGGTTCCTAAAACGAGAAACATGACGACAACGGCCGAATCGCCAGTAACACGTCACGTGCCGGCAATTTATTGACATTGGCAGCGAGTTAATTGGTCTGGACGCGAGAACAGAGATGCAATCTGCGGCGATGGATCCCAGTGGGAAGGATAATTTGTCCGGCATCGTGTTGGAACGAGCACCCGGAGAGCTACCGCCTTCGATTTTTGCCACTTGCCGACGCTCGATTTACGCTTCGTCGCAATGCACGAATGCAAAAGTGATAACGCGAATATTTTTACTCCGGGCTTTCCGCGCGAGCCGCTAAAAGAGCTCTGCCACAGCATTTTGTCGCGCATTTGTCGAATAGTTTAACGATTTTCTCACCTTGTCTATAGCTCGAACAATTCAATCTTGCCCATGACGGCTACGACGGACGCGGTTCCTTGTTAATGTCCTGATTAATCTCGCCAAGAGCTGATCGAGCAGAAATAATCGACTGCCCAACACTGCTCCTATCTGGGATTGGAAGGATGTCCGGTGACGGTGAGGCCACCCTGTGTAAAACCTCGTCCGCCATGGAACAGTCTATAGCACGTAACAAATCGATTCGCTTCGTCGATTCGGCTCGCGAAACGCGTGGCGCACGCGAGGTGCGAATCCGCGGGCTCGCGGATTGTGCGAAAGTCCGCGCGCGTGCGGCAGTTTCTATAAGGTAAAACACTTCCAGAGAGACGTAGGCATCACCTCGACGCCTAATTTACCTGAGAAAGAAGTTTCCTCAACCGAGATGTGTACATATAGATATGTATATGTATATACATATATATATATATATATATATATATGTGCGTGTATGCGTGCGCGTGTGCGTGTGTGTGTACTTTCTCAGACGTGGGTGCGTACACTCTCGGCGGCGTGTCATCAAATTTGCACCCCCTCAAGTTTGTAAATCCCCCCGCAAATTTGCATCCCCGACGAGCAAACAGCCCCGTCGTCCTCACGCGCTATTTTTCACAGTCGAGTACTTTATTGAACAGCGTGCGTTACCGAAGCACGTTGAATAAAACCATTCTGAAAGGAAGCAGCTCTGTGCACTCTTCATTGTATCTCTTCCTCGATATCCGACGGCTTTGTTTTCTTCTTCTGTTTGTCTCCTCTCAGTAGCAACCATATCGAGCGAAATTTGTCGTCTCTCTGACTGGGCTCTGAATGAAAAGTCCATTAAACTGTAATGTACCGTGATTCCTCTATTATTAAAGAGAAATGATATTAATTTCCGACACGGAGATCAACCGTTACTAAATGTCGATCATTAAACGCCATGCAAGCCACCAACGAAGCTAATTGCGCTAATTGCGAGTACAAATCGGATGCTGATGCGACCGCGCGTCATTTGTTTCATCCGCAGTGTTATCATTTTAGCTTATCGTGAGTGAGATGACGGATAGGGGGAGGTGGTTATCCGCTTAACACAATCGTCGCGTGCGATTACTAGCCGGAGATTATTTGTTCGATAAGCAACGCCATGGGATATAACGCCGAGGATATAATCGAGGTATAATTATAGTAAGTATCACTTTTCACGTTTAGAAACGCAGTTTTCAAATTCCATGTTTGATTATTGACGCGATTATTGACCGAAAGGAAGAGAACTCTTAAGAGACGCGTAACATTGTAAATTTACAGGTGCCTCGACAATCCCGAGATGCTTCGACTATTTCGAGGTGCTTCGCCGGCCGGCCCCGCAGAGGATCGGTGAGTTTTTACAAACTCTCAGCTACTTCTCGACGCTCGCTTCTCGCTTTCTTCTGCACGCTTGCCTCCCCGCGGTTTTGAGATCTATATTATGCTTGGCGATTCATTTATCAGCCGACACTTAGCAATCGCATCTCGCGTCTCGAGCGAACGTCGCAGCGAGAAAGGTGGCACTTCGTTCACAAAGGCTTTCCTCCATGAGGGGAGAGAAAGAGAATGCGTTCTCGTCAAAGGATCTTCCCTCGTTAAGTATATATAGTTCCACTTTAAAGCAAAGCGCTTTTTGATTACGACGACGCGACGCGACGCGATGAAATGTGAGAACGTATATTAGACCTAAACCTAAGAATAGATAAATAAATAAGAGGGAGGGAGGGGGATAATGACATAAATAGAGAAGAAGAGAGAGAGAGAGAGAGAGAGGGAATGTGTGTGTTAAAAAATTGCATTATACACGATTTGCAATGTTTTCGTTGGATGAAAAGCGTTTTGTCGCAGTGCTCTTCAGATAACACGAATTTTGCATTAATGTAGAGACGCGATGGGCGCGTTTGGCAATGGTACAAGAAATTTCCGGACGGACCTGGACGGGCGGGTGACGCGAGATAACGCGTGATGTAGGGGCTGCTTCAGCCTTGTCGCATTTTACCCCGGGTAATAGAAAGATAGTTACGGGTAGATTCGAAAAATGTTTATAGCGAATCTAGGATCGCAAAAATATTTTCGCCAATATCTGAACGCAATGTGCGTCCGACCGAAACATGTCAGTCGCTTTCTAATGTAGAAGCAGAGCATTTCTTCAAACATCTTCAGAGCACACTCGCGCCAGCCATTTTCCGAAACGTCTGAAGCGTTTTCGGCAATGATCAAGATAAATGACCTCGTGAATTCTGATCCAAGAGGCGAAGGAAGAGGGGCCCTGCTTATATATGTTATAAAGGACAAAAACATGCGCGATGTTCAGTGTATTTCAGTGTACTTCATCATGTACGTCAAGGGCATGTCTACCGGCGCGACAGCCAGAAAGCCAAAGGCGGATGTTTGAGTCTCGTTTATGAGCGACGTTGAGAGTCGCGTGAAACAGCGACTTCATCCGCTGCAGATGGAGGAGCCGCTCGAGGAAAATTGCGAGAAGTCAAGCTCACAAGAGACTGAGAGGAAAAGGCGAAGAGGTCTGCCGTATCTTCAGATAACGCGATCACGTTCGAGAACGCCGGATGCCGAGTTTCACCGTCCTTTATCTCTCGTCGCTGTCCCTTCCTCAAAGGTGTCGACCCGGATAAAGCGCGCGACCGCGAAAAGACAAGCGACGAGAGTCTTCGCGACGCCCTTCCGCGACGCTGAAGAACGCCAGAATGAGAGGAGAAGAGAGAGAGAGAGAGAGAGAGAGAGAGAGAGAGAGAGAAAGTTCCAAATCTTCTTCTCGTACCTCGCCAGAAAGGAGAGAGCTCGATCTTCCCTTTCCACGTACGACATCGACTATCGATCGATCACCCGATACCCGGGAGTATTCGCCGGCTGCACGACGGTCTTGACAAATCGAGCGGATCTCCGCTCGCAAGAAGAAATTTCGCCGATATGAATGAAAGCGCCGTCCGTTTCGGCCTAAGGCGACTCGCCGCGTCGCGCTGTTTAATTCTCCCACCGCGTGCAAAACGATGCCCTCAGAGTGTGTGAGACGGTGTGCTTCACCCTGCTGAGCGTGTCATCGTCTTTTTCGCCACGCGAGCCACGCGAGATCGACCTTCATCGCACGTCATCGGAAATTCACGCGGAATTTCCCTCTCGTCCATGCGTAAAACAAATTCGCGAGCCCCGCGCGAGTGTATTTACGTTCTCCGGAAGTCGGAGATCGACGGAGCGCGGGACAAGAATGGGGCGGGGCAAGAACCCTGGTTTCCGGGCAAACGGGACGCACGCGGGAAAGAACGCTCCTCGCAGCGGTCGAATCAAAGCGAAAGCGCAGTTTGGATGCCGCGGATGCTGCAGCCGTCGCCGCTCAAGCCGAGGCCCAATTTGAATCATGCACCGGTCGCCGATATACGCAAAGTCTAACCTCAAATCTGAGAAAGAAGGAAAGAGAGAGAGAGAGAGAGGAGGGGGAAAGGAGAGGGGAAATTCAAAGAGAGTTCAACTGACCCCACTCGCCAGGCTCTTCCACTCGGACTATTCGTTAACTTGCGATCGTATCTCTCAGCACGCGATTGTCAGCAATGTGAGAAACAAAGCGATGTATGCAATCGCTAAAACAGAAGGAGACTTCGCTGGTATCATTGTACTCACTCATTCGTGGTGTAAAATTTCGGGGGAATTAAACGCGAGGGGATTTCTTTTTCCTCCTAATTTCACGCCAACGAGCTTTCGCGCGCGACGATCGAGAACTTCGTCGCTGCCGGCGGAGTCTCCTCCAACTCTCGGAGATTAACTGGCAGACGACTAATGCAAACGTTCCCGAGTATCGGCAGGTAATGGGTACAATACGACGTGCAGCTATATGCAGTCGTAGTTCTTAGTCCAAGTTGCAAACGTGTGACACCAACGGCCGAACTTATCGGACCGCGACGAATCGAGCGGCTCTTATTGAGGACGACAATATGCAAACCTAGGTGGGCGAGCTTCGTAGGAGAGATTCACGACAGAGAGAACGATTTAGTTGAATCTAACAAATGCTTAATTGCAACTTAATTGCAGCTTAATTGCAACGAAATGTTTTTGTTGCGTCAAACAAAACTTTGTTCGATCAATCAAAAAATTTATCTGGGCTATTCCAAATAAGCATTTGTTAGATTCAACTAAATCGTTCTCTCTGTGCACGCAGACTGCTGGTTAAATAGATATTCGATGAACATGGCGACGTATTAATATTATATACTGCGATATATATTAATCGACCGAAGTGCCTCTAGAGATCCTTCGCCGGAAGGGAAATTTAATTGGACGAATTATATTTGTCCAATTCCGCCTGGAGCGGAAATTTTATAGAAATTTCATTTTATTCAAGAATGTCGCGAGAAACTGCCGAAACGATCTCGTGCAGCTGTTTCTAAAAATTTCGTTTAAATATCACACGGAGAAAAATATCCGAAATATCCGATTGTTAATTTTGTTACCCGATTAAATACACCGGATATTTGATCGGATAACAAAATTAACAATTTCGGATATTTTTCTCAGTGCAGTGATAATCGGTGCAAAAATTATAGATATATATATATATATTTATTATATATATATATTTATTATATATATATATATATAAACACGGATCTAAATATTCTCCTAAAGCAAAAGTAATCCGAGAATGTACGTGAAACATTCGGAGCTCGCGTCGGGAGTAAATCTACCCGGCACCGATCGTCGTAAGTTTTTAAATAAGGTCTACCGCGTCTTCCCGACGTCGGACGAAGTTTTATCGGCGCAATTACGACGACACGTAAAACGTCGGCAATAACGCCGGAATGATGATAACCGCTAAGCCCGCGGTGCATCCAGACCCAAGCGCGGCCGGAGCGCGAGTTATAAACACCCACGCTCTGAGCGAAGTCGCCAAGTCGTCAAGGGGCGTTTAATTTGAAAAGTGTAGCTCGCGAATACATTTGATGTCGTGTCGTCTATTTGCAACTGCTCTGTCGTGGATAAATGTGATTTATGCTGATGCGCAGGCTGGAATACTCAGAAAAATGAACACGTCGCGCGCACGTGCGCGCGCGCGCGCGCGCGTACGTACGCGCGCACGCGCGCTATCTGATCTATTTCTATAGCACGCGAATGAAAATTAATGTTCATTAATTAAATGAAATGGAGAGTAACGTCTTAATTAATTAAATAGGAGCCGTTCGCGCACCTCTGACGCAAATCGCGCGAGTCAGCCGACGTTTGAGAGCGCGAAAACCCGACGCGACGACGGCACGGAAAAATTACTGTCCGTCCGGCCGCTCGTCGTCGCGTGCGATTATACGCACGTTCGTGGAAATTAGAATTTTTGAAGAACGGGAATAACGCATAATCCGCGATTAAACTGCCGCAGTCACGTATGCATCTGTGTGTGCAGCGCGCCAGTTGTTTCAACGCGACGACGCCGAATTGTACCGTCGGTTTGCTTAATTCGTACAGTTGCACTGTGCTCTTACGCGGATTGTTCACTTTGTTTTTATACCGGGGTTTTATTATTTTTTTCTCCTCCCTTCCTCGCGCCACCCTCCCCCCCTCTCTCTCTCTCTCTCTCTCTCTCTCTCTCTCTCTCTCTCTCTCTTTCGACACTCCCTTTCCGCCTTCCGTCACGTAGTTTCCCTCACCCCTCTTATTTCCTCGTTTTATAATACAATATCTCTTTTTTATTTCTTACATTCTAACGTGCGGTACATTCGTTTTCCTCCGCTTTCGTCCGCACTGCCGCGCGATGAGAGATAATTCTTTAAAGGGATAAAGCCCGAGATTTATAATCGCGCGTTCTTATAGCTCGAAGCGCGAAATCGACCGCGAATTGCAATCGCATCGGGCATGAATAATTGTGTCACACAAAATCAGTGGCAAATATCGCGCGATTACATCGCGCGATTTATGTTATTCATTGTTTGTCAATTAGTGCGACAAGCTACCGATGTAATCATGTCTCTGAATTAACAATAATTTTATACGTCTCGCTCTTCTCGACTTGATCGACGTGAAATCCAAATTGTGGTAAATGCGATGAGCTGGCGGACATTCAAGTTGAATGGGAGAACTTGGCTCTTTCGTATTTGTCGTTTTCACTTACCGGACAACTTGTCTGAATGAGACTCGTGCAGGAATAAATCGTTAGAACATTCATGTGCCCGCAACGATCCTCTCATGGCTGTGTTTGCCTCTTTAGTTGCATCCCTAGCAAAAAGTCATTCAGGTTTACGGTCGTTGAACGGTCGAGTTTAATAAAGAGGAGTGGTATTACGAATGCATCGTGTATACGCTTTGTTAATATATTTCTTTCATGTTTAATATACATTACTTGAATGTG